GGGTGCTCTGCCCCGGGACCGGGGGGACTCGAGCCTGCCGGCTCCGCTCGCCCAGGTGGGCTCTTTCCAGTCACTGACATGACAGTTCAGGCGAACGGGTCATCCAAGGGTAGGATCTCCACCATTTTCCATGGAAAACTATTTCACAGCCTGGTGAGTCTCGCTGTTAAGAAATGCCCTTGATAGCCAGGCTGTCAGGAATGCGCCCTTGCTTCGCCTGCCGTACGAGTTACCTGCCAATAACATCTTCTGTAGTTTGCCCGGTAGCCTCGACTTGCATTTGATGCTCATTGCTCAGTCGTTGGAAAGTTTACTTTTCTCTCCTTCCTCCTCTATCGCAGATCCAGTAACTGCATTTTAGAGGGAAGAAGAATAGTATGTTATTACCGTACACTGGATGCCTAAATGCTTTTCAGACTATTCACGAACTCTAATCCAATCCCTTCTCACTGGTGTGCAGTAAGAATCCCTCCTCTCTCACCACAACTTGCTGCCCTTTATTGAACTTATCACAGTACCTGCACATAAGCCCTGAAACCAAAAGCTTTGTAAAAGAAATGTAGCTGAGTAACGCAAGCATAGTGCTGTAGGTGACAAAGTCTCAATCTTTTCATTTTTACATTGACTTGTTTGGCACCGCTGGGCAAGTTATTTCAGTGCTTTCTGCTTCTTTAACAAAAAAGAATAGTATAAAATTACTGATCACATGGCTCAGGCTGCTAGGCTCAAGCAAGATTTATCAAAGTATTTTTATTGTTTAAAGATGGAAAGTGCAATAATGTTTTAGTAAACAACAATAAATGTAAAAACTATTATTCTGCTTTACTTGCATACTCCCACATCTTTCTTTTCAAGATTAAAGTCTGGAAAAGTATGGTAGAGCATGTACTTTAAAATATAAAGTATGCAACAATGACATTAGGACATATAACAAGAAAATGGGCTATTTAGATTTCCAAGCAAAAATTTTCTTACTGTGAACAGCGACAAATTTTCATTTTTATGAGATACTTTAAAATACAGTGTGTTTCAGAGTAGGAACTATGGTCTTTTTCATCTCCTGTTCAAGAATCTGCAGGGTCTTTCAAAAGTATAGTTGTTCTGCTCCGTGAGATTAGTTTTGTTATGTTTCATATCCTTTGTTTCTTCATGTATTTGTTTAAAGGTTATGAAAGGATGTAGCCATTTCATACACTTGTAGGCTAAAGGAGTATTTTAATTAAAACCTACGACGGCTTTTGAAAATGGTATTTGGAAATCACTTCCTTTTATCCTTCAAAAGTAGGAATAGAAGGAAATTGCAGGAGACTGTCCCTTACCAAACACACGGAGGGAATGAACCGGGAGATATGTTTGCTAAAAGTATCACAATCATATGATGACAAATAATGTACTTTTCCATTTCTGTCCTGTACTACTGATAGGCCGTGTAACTCAGATACGGCATCCAAATTCTGTTGGTCTGAAAATGAAAAATAACATGAAAAAACTTCTTCAAGTTTTTGTATGCATCACAGAAATATCATCCCCATTTTGGGAAAACCAACAGATCAATCGGTGGCCCAAAAAAGGGCTCAGACTGCAGCAGTTATAGTGAATGTCATAACTCAGGATTGCAATACATTGGCAGGACTGTTTGGGGAAGCTTGCATAACATCTGTTTGCAACATGCCTGATTCAAACCAGCACTCCTCCTCTCGTGAATGCTGATGACTTTTTAAAAGTAAAATAAATTTGGTCGTTATGCAAGCAAATTGATTTTCCTGGGTGCCTATCCAGATCTGCTTGAAGCAACAGAAAACCCACAACTGAAAAGCTATTTATTTTATATTTACTAAATATTTTTACCATAGTTGTATCCTTTTTTCTTCCCCTTTTTTTTTTTTTTAGTGTTCTGATTTCATTCCTGTGAGCCATACTCAAGTGAGTACTCTTTATGATGCCAGAGGGACTACTCTTGTAGAGGGATTGATGTAGTTAAAAATCCCTGCTCACTGCTTTGAACATTTTTAGTGCTTTATTCTCATTATGTTAGCATAGTAGGGAACATGTAAAGACATGCTTCATTTTGGATGTTTACTCCCTAGATTGTTTTTCACAGATGGTTTTATTTTCAGGTTTCTCAGTCGCCTTGTTCCTCTTACAAGGTGTGGCTAGTTATTTTGACTCAAACAGCTTATGGCTTTATAGCTTCTATGTGAGCTTCATCGCCATTTTTAGTACTGCCAATATAAGTAAATAAATTATAAATTACAAGGTTTGCTTGTTAGTTTTGTTTGGAATTTTTGTTCGTAATACAGAGAACATGTTAACATAGGATTAATATTTTATATCACACATACTTAGAGATTTAAATGTGGCTTAACAATGAAAGATTAATTACTGTAGAAATTGATGTAATTTCACTAATCCAAGAATTTACTTGTTCCCATTTTTTCTATCTGTTGTTTGTTTCGAGTGTCATATGAAGACAGAACAGAATTAAAAACCTATTTTGACCCTCTTCAGCACTCTACATGCAGGAAAAGCTTTGTGAAAAATACAAGAATTCTGAGTAGCGACAGACAAAAGACAATGAAGAAAGGAAGGGGAGAAGGATTGGAGCCATACTCCACTGAGCGTTACATAAAAATTTTGTAGATCTCATTCCCAGTAAGATTCAATTTCAAGATTTGTAGTTTGGTCTTACAGACAGGTATCTAAATACTTCTGAAAATAAATGCCATTGGGAAGGACTGTATTTCAAATGGAACGCATTTATAACAAATGCCGAAGCTTACAGCAATGTTCAACACCCTTTTATCGCCACTTGCTCAGAGAAGAAGATGAAGATATCTGAAACATACATTAAGAAGAAGGCACAACATCTGCTGTGGCAGGTACACCACTGGGAAATTGGAAAAACATGAAAAAGTACTTGAGCAAAAGAATCTGTTTCCATTAAACAAGACTTGGGGAATGAAACCTTATTGGGACTTAGCGATGTAAAAAGACATTAAAAAATCACCCAGGATAAAGAGGGATGGAAAGCCTTGTTTGCTCTGTGAATAGTCCTTAGTGGCACAAGAAATATTTGGAGATGGAAGATTTTGTGGCCACCTGTCCCTATTTTACAAGGAAATCAGGGACACGTTACAACAGAAGTCCTTCGTCCCTTTTTCAGAACTTTTACAGAGTTTCAGCCTAGTAAGGACCAGAGGGCTCTGTTCAGTGAGTTACCATTTGCTTCAATCATGGGCAATTTACCAGAGATTACTTTGCAATATCTCTGAATAGCGATAACATTCCAAAGAATGGAAATCAAATCATCTTTTCAGGACTCTATTTATAAGCTCTCGTGTGCTCCTCTCTGTCATGCTGTCAACTCATCCTGGTTTCAGCTGAACCTCGAAATAAAAAAGATTCACAAGAGATCTCGCTTAGGTAAACCCGCCCTAGTCCTTTCCTGAGGGGATCTTAAGAAATTAAGATTGTGTGGTTTCTCCTTTGAGATTGTCCATTACAGAGATATGCCCATGGGATATAAATTTGGAAACATCAAACAAGCAGCGTCCAGTAGTCAGGATTGGTACTACCTTGAACTTGAACACATAAGGTGATACAGTCACTCCGTATTGCAAGCATTTTGCAATGTTATTAAAGACGACCAGTTATTTGACAACTACCATTATAATTTTAAAATGTATAATAATTATGTTTTAGAATTAAATAGTTAATGTGCAGTCCTGTTATCAGCACAGCTATGTGAAGATTGTTTTCCACACTACAATAGATAACATCAGTGCAGCCTGAAGTGGGATCAGAGAGTAGATTTCTTAGATGACATTAAATGGGAGTGGTAAGACTTACCTCCTAATATTTGAAAATTATCTTCCCATCACATCTAGCCATTAGCTTCCATAGCATTTTTCCCATTGAGCTAAGGTTACAGTAGATAGTTTTTCTAATACTAGTAATTGTGTGAAACTCACAGGCCGATGATATTGTAAGCCAGGAATCTGCAGGATCTGTTTTTCACTATCATTCAGGCTGTAAATTGCTTCCATCTTGGACAAAAGTGGCAAATCATCTCACTTTGGTGTTTACGATCATTAATCATATAAAAGTATTACCACCAGCCTGTTACTATGCGGGGTGATGTATAGCTTTGTAGTAAAAAAACAGACTCTGTCCTAAAATGCTTACAATAAAAATAGGCATTTATTAACACGTGTAGATAAGCTTTAGGAGCATACAAATGCAGAATGGCTTGATTAAGGTCACGTGGGAAGTCCATCAGAAACATTATTTGCTCATAAATCTCCCTAGTCCTCACACACAATCTTAGAAGTATGTTTTCTTGTTACACATCCAAGAACTATCTTACAAACTACACTACCATATCATCACTGTAGTTTCACTTAAGAGTGTCTTTGTTTTCAGAATTCACATCATATGTTATTTCCAAATGTGTGTTATCTGGTACAAACAGTTGCTCAGGCTGTCTTGAATTTTTCATGGTTTTATGCGTTCCACACTACTTTTAAAATTGAAGCTGTATTCACTTTTCTCGTGGATTTACAGTCCAAGAGTCCAGCAGCATGTGTAGATACTCCTTTCATTGCATGGGGGCTACACCCTCTTCCTGAATGCTGATTCACCCAACATCTCCCATAAAACAATGACTCACTTTTCCATTGCACAGTTAACTTTTCCAGAAACTTCGGCTCCTTAAGCTATTTCTCCCTGTGTGGCAGCCTACAAGATTTAACATTCCTGCAAGGAGCATGTGGGAAAAGGACACTGTGCAGAGGAATGTGCTGTCTTTGTCAATGGAATTGCCAAGTACAGAATAACCAGATTCTGTTCTATTTATTTTATGGTCCCATTTCCCTCCCATTCTGTCCCAGCTCTGTATGCGTACAAAGGCTTCAGGCAACAACCACTATCTCAAGTTAAGGTCAATCAATATAGCTGATGCATTGATGTTTAATTATAGGTAGCTGATGGTTTCCTCTGGCACGGGTTAACCTTGTTAAATATATTGTTTAAAAATACCCCTTCAAAATTAATTTTCTGCTTGTTTTTAGATACACTGTGTGCACTGGTTCTTCTGTGACCTTGACAGGATGGGTGGTGACAGCTAAAACACCGCCTTACTTTGTCAAGACTGAGATTCACTCCTACGTTATAAAACAAGTTCAGGGGTTGTTACTATCTTCCACACCAGTGCGTCTGATCTCTCTTGACAAAGGGGGCATGAGATGGTTGTATTCATCTCATGAATACACCGTTAAGAGTTTTTTTAGCAAACTCAGTCTGGGCTGTTTGCTCCTATTCGCCACACAGTAAGAAAAGGACCATTTGCTTCTGTTCATCTCATGTACTTCTTCTTGCCAAAGAATAACCTGTATGAAATGCAGAGTCTAAAAGGATTTTAGTGACATCTCGAGTGTATCAACACTCTAATTTGAAAATATCCAGCTTTTAAGAAAACCTGATTTTTTACGTTATACTGGAGCTGAAGACACAGTAATATCTTCCTTAAGATTTTTCTTACTCCTATGCTTTGTCAATAGTTTCAGTCCTGAGGGAGAACAGCTCTACTTAGAAGAGCTTGTAAGAAACCACTAAATTCACTAGGACACCAACTCCTATTGTAGTAGGTCAGCATGTCTCCAGCTGTACTCTGATTTCCAGTAATAGACCTAATCTTCTAAATCAATACGTGATTGCAGTTGGGAAGCCTGCACCATTACACCAGGTAAGTCCAATCTTGCCTCCGTCTATGCTTACCTTTGGGTCTATAAAATTTCTGCAGAAAGGGCCCTCAAGCAAGGGTTAAGCATATTACTGAACGTCTGTGTTTAATGAAATGGAACCAATGTACTTGAAAATTGAAATACTGAAAGAAAATATGGAACAGTCCAGCACTGCAGAACAACCTTTTGAAGTTTTACCTAGAGCTTTGTAAGTTCCTTAAACTTTTCAACAGCGGTATGATATTCTTGTGAAAAGCTGTGTATGTGTGTGTATATATATATGTTTAAAAAAACTCACTTAATGGAATCAAAAAGTAACACTTGTAACAAAGAAGTGCCTTCTATCCAAAAATTTCCAAGTTATTTAAAACATTAAACAAAACCAGGGAGAATAGAAATCTGTTAGTTTGAAAGATAAGACTCCATGTATTTTACACCAAAACAAAAGGCACATTTATTTACTATTTTCCCTGAAGATTCACAGGCAGGAGCTGTAATTAGATCTCATCCAGTTAAAACTCAACAATTAATCCAAACTGCCTTCAAAAGGTTTAGTGCACTGTGATATATTTCAGAAAGAGGAAGAAATTATAGCTGTCGAGGGTCAGATTTTACTTCTTTTATTCACCTTCACCGAACTCTGAGACTAAACATCTTATTTCAATGTTTTTGAGAATGTGATTTTAATTGTTATGATTAAGGGACTGCAGAAACAGGTCCCACATGAAGATGACATTCAGTGAAGTATTACCTTTGCTTTCAGAATTATCTTTGATCGCACTTGTAAATTTGCAGTGGATTTTCCCATTAATTAATGTGAATTAGCTAGTTGTGGCTGTTCAGTTTAGGTTAATTCTAAATGTTTTACAGTGCATCGCTAATTATTGAAAAAAAAACCCCAACTTATTAAGAAGCATGCAGGTGCAAGCTGTGAATTGCCGGGAATCCCTGCTTTCGCTCTGCTCTGCTGGCTGCTGTGCCGGGGTGTTTGCTTTGGATAGCTCCTAGCACCACCGTTGCGCAGAGCGGACTTCGGCAAGGGCCCAACACAGCGGAAAGTCACAGCTCGGCACAGAGCAGGGAGACTCCGCTAAATGTTTCTTGCCTCCCTGAGGATCCCGTCCCATTTTCTCCCTTCTCATGTACCCATGGGAACTCGGAGGCTCTGCTTTCCAACCACCACGCCGCTCTTTCGTACTCGGTACAAGGCCTCAGCAGAGCTCCTTCTCAAATATGTCAACACTCGCCCTTAATTAGTCCTTCCCGCACGATGAGGCATTCCTCATCTCCAAAGGGTTCAGTCTGCGGCTGCTCCTGCCGTCTACACGGGGCTGGAAAGACAAAGGGCCGGGGGCAGCTCCACGTCGCCGCTGCGTGAGCAGCCCGGCTGGGCCAGAGCGGAGGTGTGGGCGCAGCCATCTGGCCAAGACACTAGCCATCTGGAGACACTGGGCCCATTCTCCGCTTTGTGGAGGCTCGCTGAATGCCGCTTTTTGTCCTCTGCCCGTCCTCAGACAGACATATAAACTGTATCTTTTGTTCTTCAGCCAGGAGGAGAAACCCGCCTTTGCAGTAAAGCACGTTGGCCTGGCAGACAGAGATTTATCCCCCCCTCTAAGGGCGACAGCTGCCCCTCACGCAGCGACGCGAGCCGCGGGCGCGGGTGCTGCACCCGGGCCCC